CATCACACTTCCAACCTTACGCAGTTACTTAAGCATAAAGTTGCACATTTATTTGACATTTTTATTTTATTTAAGAATAGGTTTTAGAGTTATAAATACTTATAATTTTTGGATACAAATCCTCTGAAAAGAGTTTGTATCCATAATCTTTCTTCTCATTTTCTTGGAGTAAATAACAAATAATGAGTATGGATGTCGCATGGAAGCCAAGACTTGGGTTAGCATTCGAAAGTGTTAACGAAGAATGTTAATTTTGGTGTAAATATGGAAGGATGACATGATTTAGAGTGAGGAAATAATATGTAAACAAGCAAAAGGTAGATGATATTATAACAGTTTGTAGATATGTTTTTTGTAAAGAGAGATATCAAACAGAAGATAAAAGAAATTCACAAATTATCAAGCACAAACTAGAAACTAGAACAAAATGTCTTACAAGGCTAGCATTTTCTTTGGCAAATAACAACAAATATGTTATACATGAGTTTGTTGAAAAGCATAATGATAAGTTTGTAATTAGGCTCTCTTTTACAATCCATATATTCATGTTTGACCTTTATTTTATTTGAATTTTATACTAAATTATATGTTAATTGTGTAGTTTAGTATGAAAAGGCCACAAGTAGATTTTAGGTGTGTTTTGGGCCCAAATTGATGGAAGATCAGAGTTTCGCAGCAGTCAGCACGCCCAGACCCTTTCAACAAGCACGGGAGTGCTTCAAGTCCATGCACGGCCGTGCTTAAGGCCTTACACGGTCATGCTCATATGTGGGAAGCCCAATTATGAAGAGCTTTTAGGATTTTCAAATCTTATACAAGAGAGACCTCAGGCATCTTGTTCGGGACAGTTCTACATCTTTTCTTTTGCTTTCCGATACACCTCTCATCTCGTTTCTCTTACACGGATCTTTGGCATACTTTTGGTGGGACTTGGAGCTTCAAGCGATCATACTTGAAGACTGGGAACTCATCTCCCACTCTAGTTTGCTATTTCTTTTGATTATAGTTTTTTCTATGATTATTTTAGTTCTTTCCTTTAGCATGAGTAACTAAATCCATAACTAGGGCTATGAGAACTATTATTCATGAATTTATGGTTTTGATATTTGAATATAAATTTGATTTCTGTTCCATGATTAGATTTTATCCTATTGTGCTTCTTTCTTAATCCTAATTAATTATATCGTCAGGCAATCGTACCTCGGTTAGTTAATGGATCTATAGGATAAAGCGAGACAAATGATTAGGTGGACCAAACCAATCTTTCTCTTCTAATTGTTATTAAATTAACAAGTTCATAGATGCTTTAAGCTTTCTTGAATTAATATCTTGCATAACCATTGGATATGTTAGTTTAGAAAAAAGAATATTAATATTGTATGGCCATTAAGTATTAATAGTAATTGTATGAATGATTGGTAATCACAAGAAAATTGAATTTAGAGTTAAATGGAAGAATAACATAAAGGATTGAATGAGAAAACCCATATGCCTTAGGTTCTTCTCCAATAAGTTCAACTAAGATGTGCATTGTGTTCTTCATTCTCAATTTCATATAAATTCTTGTTTTAATTAATCTCAGATCTTTGAAACTCAAACAATTGAATTAGAAAATTCTTAATAATTAGGAAATAATCCTTGTGGAACGATATTTCTATAACTTAATTTAAAAATCCTTTATTACTTCTCGACGGGTACACTTGTCCAGCAAATACATAATTACTATTATAACTTCTAGAGACAAAACACATGATTGCTTCTCATTATAAGATAACAAAAGTCCAAGCTCATGAACACACTTGTAGGACATCGTGTGAATGTTGGATATACTCTTCTTGATGCAAAAAATTATTTGAAGGCAAAGAGACAAAGGTGAATGGTATTTAGAGAAGTTAGTTGTTTAATGCAATACTTTCAATGACAGTTGGTAGACCACCCAACATTTTTTTCATGCATACCAAATAGATGTTGATGAACAAATCACAAATATTTTTTGGGCATATGCTAAGATGGTGATTGATTTTGAGGTATTTTTGGTAAGTTGTATCACTAAACACTACATATTGTATTAATCGAGTTAATAGGCTTGTAGCATTGTTTTTAGACATTATAGAGGTGTTTTTATTTCGAGGCAGCCTTGTATGATGAGACGACGTAATCATTTCAATGATTGTTTGAGACATTCTTGGAAGCACATAATAAAAAAAAAGCATCAAACAATTTTTTAAACCAAGATCAAGAAATAAGTAATGTCTGAGACACATCATGTTTTATGCATATGATATTTAATACAAAATGGAATAAAATACCTTAACAATTTGATGAAAAAAGGAAGTTAATTTTTAAGAGATTTAAAAAGATGCATGTATGATTTTGATATTTCAATTGAATTTGAGGAGGCTTGGACAAGGCTGATTATAAAATATAATATTCAAGAAAATACTTAGATTATTTCACTTTATTCCATAATGGAGAAATGGATATCATATTATCTCAAGGATGTTTTCACCCTTTGAATGCAAAGTACTCAGCTAAGTGAAAGATTAAATTCTGATTTCAAAGCTTGTAAGAAACCCGATGTTGACATCAAACAATTCTTCATACGCTTTGAACGAGTTGTTGAAGATAAGTATTACAATGAGCTAAAGTGTGAGTATGAGTTCCGCCATAAACTAACCATGTCGTGATATGAGGTATCACTAATATTAATACCAATGGCCAAGATATGCACACATATAGTATTTAACTTATTCCAATAAGAGTTTGGTCAATTCTTGACTTGTTGTATATCATAAAGGATTGAAAATCATCCTCTGATTGAATATGTCATTACTAAAGTAAACTAACAAAAGTGATGGATAGTTACATTTGATATTTCCTTAACTAAATCTTGCACTTGTAAAAAGTTTGAAATATTTGACATACTATGCTGTCATGGTTTGAATGTATTTGAAGCCAATGATGTAAAGATTATCCTTGTCAAATACATACTTAAGAAATGGACGACATAAGGCCATTGTGGAATTATTCACAATATAAAAGAAATAAAGGTTGAAGGAGAACTTAAACTTAGTACTACACATCGATAACGTCACCTACATATAAAATGATTAGGTTGGCCTCTCAAGTAGTCACAAGAATGTTGTTAGCTTAGTTGATGACACTATTAACACTTTAAACCAAAGCGAGACCAAAATCAGAACTTGACCCAAAGGCACCACAACAGAAGGGGAGAGAGCTGTGAGAAACTCTTCCTTTGAGTCCTTGGAATCACTTCTAAGGAGTTTCAGCGGCCAGACACAAGTTTTAGAAGTTGCACTTACAAGAGCAAAATAATATGCATAATATAACGTTCAGAATTAATAAATATTTTTTATGATTTATAATTCTAAATGAATTTAATAATTATGTTGCCTAATCTTGCTTGAGCTAGAGGGCTCCTTACTTGAGTGAGAGTACATTTAAGAAATTTCTATCCATTCTCGCTCAAGCAAGAATGCTCTAGAGGCGTCGCCTTTCAAATTAAAAAATCTTGCTTGAGTGAAGCATTTCTCGCTTGAGTTAAATATACGACATTGTTAGAAATACTCCTCCATTTTAAAAACAAAAACAATAAAAATTATGTTACACAAAATAGGGATGATGCTACACAATTTAAAGGATTCAATCAGTATCTCAGGTACTTTTTATATGTAATTCTACGTATAAAGAAGGATAAATGATTAAAAAATTAGTTTGAACTACAAGCAAAGAAAAAGAACAAAACTTTAAATTTGGTTCAATCAGTATCTCAGGTACTTTTTATAATCATTTTTAATATCAATAAATAAATGTATTTAAGTTGCTTATTATTAGTATATAATTATTTTTATGTGAATATTTTTTTTGTTAAATATGTATTTATCAAGTAATTTTCTGTGTAAATGAATGTAATCAAATTTATCTTGCTTAACCTTGCATGTTATCTGTTTCTGCATAATTTTACTATTTTTTGCATAATTTGCTTAAGAGACTCAATACTCACTTAAGTGGATCCCAATTTGATATATATTACCACTCTCTGCTTTAAGTGAATGATAGACATCAAATCACGATCTATGTGCTTATTTCGTTTAAGTAATAGCTTATCTACTTAAGCGAATCCTTTTTAGCTTAAGCGAGTATCGGGTCAATTAAGCAAATGACAAACCGCATATCAATGTCTCTTTGTCCCAAATTTGCTTCATTTTAATTAGTTTTGCTTAGAAGTGTTTAAGCGAGCCAATATTAACTTATGTGACAAAAGTCTCGCTTAAACGAGATAACTCTAAAGGTTCATCTCACTCGCTTAAAGAAGTTACACAATAATTTGTTTATTTGCTTAAGCTTTGTTTTGGTGGTTTAAATGAATTTTAGAAAGTGACACATAAGATATTCTAATATATGACATAACATCAAAAGACATTGTATATCAAAAAGTGTGTCACCTTCTTATACATGCGCCATGAAGAGTGATACACAGCAAAGTAACTTGTGTTATGTTCTAGTATATGGCATCTAAAATGCTTGCTTCATATACTTCTCTTAGGACATATTCACCTAGCTTAAAAACATTTCTTGGTAAAAGAATGAGTAGAAATGGCTGCAATGGTGGGGAGGGGGGCAGCTTGTAGTGAGGTTGTGTTTGAAAAGAAAAACTGTGAAATAAATCATACCTTCGAGTGACAATAGATAAGTTTCTTTGACAACCATACTAACATTAAATCTCGACCATGCTGAAAAAAATCATTCAAATACACAGCATTGTCAATAATTTATCCAACTTTAATTAATTAAAATCCAGCCCCAAGCTACACTGAAGTTTTAGTGTCCACGACGAAATGCTCTCTTTTTACATATAATCACAAAAAATACGGCATTTTTACTTTATTTTCTGTTTGCAAAATGGCATACAAAAAATTATTAAAATATTTTACAATTTTACTACTTTATACAAATCTTTAAATGCAGGATACAAAATAAAATCAAGGTAACATCTTTCTGATTGCTTATGCAAAGAATAAATGAAAAAAATACATTTCCTCAAACCAAACATGCTCGGACACTGTGGCACAGAAGGTGTCAGTTTGAGGGGGGGGGGGGGTTCACAACAGATGCTACAAAAATTTAAACATGTTCACAGATACCTCCCACTTACAACTGAATGATAATGTAGCACTTTCAACAATTTCTTCAGTTGTTGACCTGCTATTTCTTATTAAGCTTACAAGTCTCTTATTATATATAAAAGAAAATATTTTTCAGCTGACAATGTACAATATGAGAAAAACAATCTTCAGCAGATATAACCTAAAATTTCCTGACAACATAAACGTTACAAAAGCTCGCACTCTCTTTAATAAAACCATTGTATTAGAATGATCGGAATGCCGCCTTCTAGACTTTGTATTATGACCAACTACAAAATGCTTTAAGTTATATTATAGGATGGTACATCTATTAAGACCAAGAGCTGAGAAAAGTCTTCTTCCAGGAGGCCAAAAGAGAGAGAACCAACTCGTTCTAGGTGCATCAGTTGGAGCTTCATCATGTGAATCCTCTGAATTTGTTCCATCTGAGTCCCCATGTACTTCATCCTTCTGGCTTTCACTTGTCATCTGATCTCCATCTACATCAGGTTTAACTTCCGCAATTTCTCCAGGCTTCTTGTCAAATAGCCCTTTAAATTGCCTCCTAGCTTTCTTCTCAACTTCCTGCAAATGAATTGTATATAAGTGTTTCCTTCCGCAATGTCTCAATCATATAAGTAAATAACTGATTTCAAGCCTACCTGCTCCTTCTGCCTCAGTTTTTGAAGAGCTGCATTTGCATCTGATTCAGTTGACTTGTCAACTTTCATCATCTAAGATAGCATTCAAAGTGATTTTAAAAATGAATACCAATACACCCTGAGATGCTAAAGCAGTTAAGCAGAAAGATTTTCTACCATTTTAAAATCAGCCCTAGCTTCTTCAAAATCTCCAGCAGCCATGTAGGCCATTCCGCGTCGATAAAGACCCTTGACATGTGCAGGATTTGCTTCCAAAACCTGCATGGTTCATTGAAGAAAACATAACAGGCAAAATTATTATATAGAACATAAAATCAAATGCCAGAATCCAGTTTTAAGCCAAAGAAAGGAAAAAGGCCCACAGAAAGAGCCTTAATAAGCATGGAAGGAAAGCAACGTACAAGCCCACAAACTAGTTTGCAGCTAAAATCCACTATGCTAGCTAACCCCCAAGTAGTAGTTAGTTAAAATAAATTACTTAGTTACCCAATAGTTAGTTACATTGGTGAGTTAGATTCGCGAGTTTGTTTGAATAAGGCACATTGCCTATAAATAAGAGGGGAAATTAGAGAGGAATATCATGTGATCTGTGTGATGAATTTAGGGCCTTTTGACAATGGGAGGTGCACAGCCTCAAAGTTCTACAGTTTGCGTGTTCTGTTCTGTGAATTATAGAAATCTTTCCCTGTTTTTTCTTATAAAAATACCAAGTTTCTATCAACTGGTACTTGAGCTTGGAGATGCAAGTATCAAATCTTGACAATGATGCCAACATTTGATGGAGTGTAGTCTTATTGGTAGCTGATCCATTGGAGTGCCAGAAGAGGAGAAGCTATCTTGGGTGAACTTGGGTGAACTCAGGTACACTCGTGAGTTTACACCCAATTTTACAAGTTTAACAAAATAAAGGTATAATCACATTTTTTCACCAAAATAACACCATTTCGAATGACAGCCCATTTTTCTTCCCCCTCCACAAGTTGTGAAACTTCACATTTATAATTATGACACCTAAATCACATTATCATTATATGATTTGGCTATTTAAGTATAATTTTAACTTTATTATTGAACTTTATTTCTATATTGCGATTTTTTGAATATTATTTTTACATGAGACCTGAAAACGAGCTCTCTTGTGTGGAAGGAGACCATCTTTTGAATTGTGAAATGCATAAACACATGCAACATCATTAGGGAAATAAAGAAAGAATGACAACGAACCATGATTCATTGATTTGCCTAGAAAACCTTGGGTTCTAAATACACTTGTAGAGGAAATGTTTCAGGACCAAAAATATTAAAGAAAACAAGGCATTGAAAGAAATTGATTATAGCCACTTGTTTGTGTTTGACCCAAGTGGGCTTGAGACTATCTTGGGACTGCTGTAGTGGGTTGACTTAATCATAATGCTTCAAACAAATGGAACCACGATACAAAAGTGTTTAGGGTGGGAGTATTGTTAGTTAAACCCCATTAATAGTTAGTTAAAATAAATTACTTAGTTACATTACTGAGTTAGTTAGTCAGTTAGGTGAGCTTGTTTGAATAAGGCATTTTGCCTACTAATAAGGGGGGAGATTAGAGAGGAATATCGTGCGATTTGTAAGAGCAAATTAGGGCTTTTGACATTGAGATGTGCAAACCCTTGATGTTTTGCATTGTGTGTGTACCAGATTCTGGGAATTATAGAGTTCTTTCCCTGTTTTCTCTTATAAAGTAACCTATACACACTCACACGGGCGCTTGTGTATCAACTGAGAGCATGAGAAGTGAGAAGGGTTAATCTTAATCATATAATCATATATAGATTATCAAGATTAATTCTTCTCACATTCTCACTATTGAATACATGAAAAAAAAAAATTGTACAAATATTGTTAAAATGTCCTCCAACCTTGGCTATGAATATAGTAACATTACTCTTCATGAGATTTGAACAATCCTCTCCCTTGAGTTAACTTTTGGAGTTGAGTTAAAGTTAAGCTTATTTAAATAAATTTCTCAATAAGTACTTACAAGAGATAAAAATAATGAAATAAAATGAATCAAACTCTTCCTATAACTTATAACCATCTTATACTCTAAGTTTTTTAGTTCTTTCATTTACCCACAACCAAGACAATTAACCCATGCAAAGACAGTAACAAGGTCAGCTTGTTTTCAAAGAAAATAGTTTGATTGTAGGGGGAAAAAAGTGTGTGCACACGCACATGTGCATCACACCAACTAGACCAATTCTATTAGGTATGTTTGTGACTAGTGAGAAATACACTACACAGGTTTCCATCTAGGTATCTTGGGTATCTTGAAGTTGAGCGAATTAAACAGGAGATTAATGACAACCACATTCTTTGCAACATTTCTCTTTTTTCTCCTTTTCTATCTGTTAAGATCTCACATTGACTAAATACATGGCTAAAGTAGATCTTATAAAGACTAAAACAATCCTTACCTTACAAGCTAACTTTTGAATTCAAGTTAGGCCCAATCCCAAATTCAAAATAATATCAAAGTCTATCTATCATACATTCAATACCGGACAACCCTCAACTATAAAAAAGAAAAATCAACCTAGCCTCAGTTTTTCCAGGTGCACTTAACTTACTTTCATTAATTTCTTTGTGCAACCTGCCTAGCCTAGCGGGTTTTCTAGTGCAATATATATAAGAGAAACAGTCCTATAATCTCCACACTCCACTTCAGATGTTCAATTTTGGGCGAGAGGTGTGTTGAGATCCCATATTGGCTACATATATGATTTAAGTAGAGTGTATTAAACTAGTTTTTGGAATTAAATAAAGCCCAAGCCTAAATTTAAGAACATCCATTTAGCATAGCTTGTTTTATGAAGAAAATTGAATTTTCATGAAGAAATTTTACTCCAACAGAAGTTAGCCTCTATCGATAGTACAACAACAAATTAAAGAATGAAAATATCTTCTTTAAAATTTAGCCCTTTACAACAACATCTGATCAAGGAATAACAATTGATTCTATAAAAGTAGTAAGTCACTGTGGTTGATCCAGAGGAATTACAAATGAGGCTCACTTGGACTGGATGGAGCTTAATATTTCAGATGCATGTACAACAAATTAAAGCAGTTATCTGTTTACACCAACGAACTAAACGAAAGCTACATGAAGGCAGAGGTCTCAACCATACCTTATTGCAAGTCTCAATAGATTTTTTGCACTCTCCCAACTTCAGATAGCATGCAGCAACGTTCAGGTGTAGCAAATTCTTCAATCATTGTGAAAGAGACGAATACAAAGATTTAGTCTAAATTGAATCAACCTATCAATCATAAATTAGGAACAGTGCGTCCCTTCTTTAATGTTCCACAAGAGAGACAAAAGATCACTTACACGTGTATCTACAAAAACTTTTCCTTCCTCGTCATCTTGTGGATTAACATGATTAAATTCTCGAAGCACCTATTGCCAACTACCACATATAAGTTTGATGATATAGTGAGAGTTTCAGAGCCAGAAAAACAAAAACCGAAGAGAATTGCAAATCCAATCATTGTGGAATGTACAATAGAAATTCAATATAACATACAAATCCAATTCTTTTAACAAAATCAGAGATTCCAACATAGACAAAATAATCAATAATGTCATAGCATACAAATCATAGCACTTCAAATTCTTTTGCAAGTGTATGAATATATTTAGCAGAAACAAAATTTTAAATAAAAGTGAACTATTTTGCTGTTAGCTGATGCCATTTTTTTCAGCAAAGAAGCCAAGATTTAAACCATTCACAACAACTCTCCTAGCCTTTTAAGACTAATGCGTGCTATTACACCACCATATATAGCTGAGACCAATTCAATGAATATTTTAGATCTATAGTTTCTATCAAGATGCAGCAGCACACCTACAGCTGTTCCATCTAAAATTTCCAACCTGATGGAACCCCAAACAGCAATGAAGGCCTCTAGAATACAAGCCCTACAAGGTCCACTGTGTGGTGGGTCTACTCCCGTAGGAAGGAAGCCAACAATCAATAATTACGAAGTCTGTTATTATTCTGGTCTATTATTATTCTGTTTTTAGGATGCTGTTTTGAATTTGAATAAGTTAGTTAGGATATTCTGTTATTAGATTAGGTTAGTTTCATTGTTCTTTATTTAAATTGTTAGTTTGAGGAATTGAGGGGGAAGTTCTTCAGCTAGACTTAAGAGAGGAGAATAACATTCTCTGAGAGGAGCTTTGGCTCTGAGAGATTCTTGTAATCCTAATTCCTATCATAATCAATAAAATATCTTTTTCTTTTTTGTCTATTACCTGAGCTTAGATTCTGGACCCTAACAATTGGTCTGACCTACCGGATCACCTTTCCATGCACACGAGATCAGTGGAGAGGATAGAGGCAAAAATTCAGAGCATGGAGACAAACTTTGCAGACTATCGAGCACTGATGAGAGAAGAGATGAAAGAAAGAGACGTGAAGCTCCTGGAGGACATACAAAGGTTATTCCAAACCAGAAACAAGGAGGGTCCGAATCTGAATTTGCATCCTCCCAGAACTGTACCCAATGATGGGGACGATTACCGAGCTTCAATCAAGAAGGTAGAAATGCCTCAATTTGACGAAGTTGACCTCGTTGGGTGGATTTGCAGGGCTGAAACTTACTTTGATGCCCATGGCACTTTGGGGGAGATGAAAATCCACCTCCCAAAGTTGAGTATGGGTGGAAATACTATCCATTGGTTTAATCTATGGCGTGATGAAGAAGACAATGCAACGTGGGAGCACTTGAAGAGGTCCATGGTAACAAGATTTGGGGTCGGGAGGCTTGACAATCCCATTGAAGAATTGGCTACGGTTAAACAAACCGGTTTGGTTGAGGAATACATAGAAGCCTTCGAAATCCTTGCGTCGCAGGTATCACCACCATTATCAGATGTTCATTTTTTGGGCTTCTTTATGAATGGTCTCTAGTCAGAAATCCGGAGAAAGGTGCGGTTGCTGTCCCCAACCTCCCGGATAGCCGTGATACACATTGTCCGCTGGGGCTATTATGCACCTACTCCCTCGGGGAATCGACCATTTAATAGGGATCGAAGTATCCACGCCCTTCATCTGTGACAACCTCAAGGTTGAACAAAATCTGCGGGAAGGAAACTCGATGATGGAGCCCTTGGGTTCCTCAGGAGATCCAAATTCAAAAGGAAATTTCATGCATGGTTCCCAAACAAACGGAGGGCGATCTCGTGGTGTAAGACACCTTCCTTTGAAGGAGTTTATGGATCATAAAAACAAAGAGCTTTGTTTTCACTGTGGAGAGAAATTCGGCCCTCACCATCAATGCCTAGAAAAATCGTTGAGGATAATGCTCTTAGACGAAGGAGAGGAGCAAGGAGAGGGCGGTGTCATCGCGACTCTGCTAGCGGAAGAAGAGGAAAGTGAGGCCCCAATAACGTGACAGTCATCAAAAGTCAGTTTCCTTCATTCACACTTGAGGACAAGAGTGGAAGTTCAAGGGGTGGTATTGATGGGACCTCAAACAGCAATGAAGGCCTCTGAAATACAAGCCCTACAAGGCCTATTGTGTGGCGGGTCTACTCCCGTAGGAAGGAAGCCAATAATCAATAATTAGGAAGTCTGTTATTATTCTGTTTTTAGGATGCTGTTTTGAATTTGAATAAGTCAGTTAGGATATTCTGTTATTAGATTATGTTAGTTTCATTGTTCTTTATTTAAATTGTTAGTTTGAGGAATTGAGGGGGGAGTTCTTCAGCTAGACTTAAGAGAGGAGAATAACATTCTCTGAGAGGAGCTTTGACTCTGGGGGATTCTTGTAATCCTAATTCCTATCATAATCAATAAAATATCCTTTTCTTTTTCTTCTATTACCTAAGCTTAGATTCTGGACCCTAACACAACCCCAGTGCAATAAATTTTCTATGAAAGAGTCAACCAATAAATGTAAGAGCATAAGGTTCCACCTACCTCAAGAGAGAAAGATTAATACCTTTTCATACTTTGCCTTGGCAAGTTCATATTTTCCTTCTTTGAATAGCCTGTTACCCTGAAAGAGACAAACAACATGAAACATTCAACTTCCCTTCACTCAAAACCAAGAGTAAACCCTAAGTGTTGTTTAATATCTTCGTAAGTGATCGTAGCACAAGTATGAAAACAATAATGAGTATTACTATTAACCTAAGAAGCCCGGATACTCCAATTTGGCCAAAGTGTGAGTAATGGACAAGTATCCAATTTTTTATTTTATTTTGAAAAATAAATTCCTGCCCTGATACAGCTGGGATATGACTCAATACATTTGAGTATAGCTTCCAGCCAGAAGATATAATATTGAAACAGTGAGTTTCAATTCCATGATTGTTCAACACTTGAGATAAAGTCTTCAACCAACATTATCACTCGTCTCCTCTAGCTAGGGCTTGTGGCAGCATGGGTCTAGCCTTACACAAATAAAGGTTGCAATCCTTGTGGGTCTTGTACGCAACAATGCTCAAAGCTTTCACACATAACGGTCATTTTGGGTCTTGTAAAAGTCATTTGTTACTGGGTCACAAATTGGTGATAAGGGCTAGCAAGTTGTGGGTCAGTGATGATAGTTGACAACTCGAATCACTCAGTGCTCATGGATCTCACTTCCATATAGTTCTAATATGAAAATGTAATACATTAATATGAATTAGTCACCAACATCTCTTTAAAAGTAATTTGTTTTTGTATAAAATATGTTTTTTTTAATTTATGCTAATGTATCTAGGCCGTATCATATCTTGTATTTTCAAGAATCTCTTGTATTTTCGTATTTGTATCATATCTGTGTTGTACTGAATATCAAGGCTTCATAGGTATTAATCAAATAAACCATAATGAAGCCATAACTTCATAATCTATACAAGAAAAGGGCTGGATTTAAAATAAAATTGAGGGCACTTTCATGAAATCAGCGTACACTATCTATATTTAATTTCATAGAATTTTATCTAAAGTCATTCTTGGATTTCTAATGAACTTCCCTTGTATTATTCTAGCTTCATCCTGATTATTTCAGCATAAATGAGAATCATTTCTTCATGTTATGCATGCATAGCTAAAGAGAGCAGTAATCTGGATCACTGACAGAAGATTCATAACTGTTAGTGGGAGCCTTGACTTGACAGCTTAAATTTTACCCCTTTCAAATTCTTAAATTATTTTTGCTCAACAAAGTTTCACACTCGTGTTTGACAGAAGTGCTCAATGTAGGATATGATATATTGGCAAAAACATAGAAACTGTATTACAACAATAATAAAAAAGATATAATTAAATAAGAATTTATACATAAGAAGGAGACATTGCCACCTAGTCTTCAAATAGCTTTGAATAAATTGAGTGTAACGGTAGTCAACGATTAGAGAGTATCCTACAGGTATAGCTATAAGACTAACCCTTGAGACCGAGACTGCCCCAGGACAGTGACTCTAGGATTCAGACTCCTAATGTTAGAAGTAATGTTTGCCTGAGGTCACAGTCTACTTCCACTTCACTACAACCACCCATCGCTGGGTAACTTAGCTGTCTATTTAGATTTATTATTTTGAGAAAGAGAAAACCTCCACTCAGCCTTTCAAAAATAATCACTAAAACAAATCTAGCAACTGCATACCGTGTTTTTAATATTTTCAGCATCATTCATTATACTTTTGAAGTCCAATCCAGTCCAGTCCTGCAATGAGGAATGAAATCCGCAATGCATTAGGCATAGTAATAAGGATATAGTACAACAAACAAAAGCATTAGCCCACTAATAAGGAACCAGTACACAACTTGTAAAATAGAAATCAAAAGCAGTCAAGGGTTACAAAACAGTGTAAGTTAATTATATATTGTTTGAAGTATTAAATCCAACTTGTATGATTTATCATATTCTGTTTCATATAACTATCGTAGTTCAGCCAAAGACTAAAATCATAGAACAATAAAGCAGAAATATATCTCATTCAAGAATATTTAAGGAGCTAACTGAACTGAAAAACATAATAATTAAATTTAGAGAACAATATAAACATAACTTGATCAGCATTCTCATCTCTGCCACACTTACTTTTGCAATTGTCAACATTTCACCACCAAGCATTCACTACCATACAGCATTGCAGGTATTATAATTGCTAAATGCATATACGCAACTTCTATAGAAAATAAATTGAACTTAACTGAAGAATTCATAAATGTACCTTTGGCATTTCAAAACCTATAAGCTCAATTTCCCACTGTATATGAGCACCCTCAGGGACATTTGAAGGCCTGATCATAAAAGGAGGAAGTATGCTAAGGATGACATGAAGCATAGGAATAGAACAAGACGATAGTGGATGCTGAGATAGAAAACATATTCAATTGGAAATTGTCTGCACTAAAGCTTCAAGAAACATTAATTATTGGTTAAACACAAAGTCAAAGGTGTAGGTTCATGAGCAACCTTGGAAACTTATCATAAGCATAGTCGGGGGGGCATGTGATAAGAGCTATCTCTCCTGGAAGCATCAGGCGAACAGACATTTCAAATCCCTCTGGTACCTAAAACATTCAAGCACAATAACCAATGTAAAAATTGATGTATTTGCATCATTAGCATTGATGTTAAAGGGGATAAATTCTAGGTAAACAATTACATAAGGAATTTTCAGACAGTAAAGTCTATAACAAAAAATAAAACTAAATAAAAAGACTCAATTCAACTTGAGCTTATTTATGCTCAAGTTGGGAAACTCACAAGCCCTTCTCCAGAACAGAACTCCAATGGCTGACCATCATTGTCTACTCTTGTATCACAGAATACCCTCTTTTCTTCATTGAGAACGGTGCCCTTGTAATGAACACGGAGTAGACTATCATGAAGGGGACAGTCCATTGGAAAATCACCTATTTGATACAAACAAATGCAAAATCATAATAAAATTTTAAATAGATGTAAACTGCTGGAACTTAAAACAATGTTAATGAAGCTTAAAAGTAAATAATTTAGCTCCTTCTCCTAACATACCACCTTAAACAAAAGAACAATAATAAAAATTGTGAAAAGAAAAAAATGGTAACTGCTGAAATATAGCATAATTAAATATCATGAATATAAACTCAAGCATCAGCTAGGAATTCTCCACAACATTATTTTTAATTTTTTGGTTTTATTTGTATCTAGCTAAAGAGAAATCATGATGCCTTTTATAAATTCTGCACTCCTTGTAAGATTGGTACCAGTAAATAACTTGAGTCTCAATCCACACCTTTCCCATCACGAATCCGGCGTTTTATTAGGCGCCCATCTCCAAGCATGTCCCTCACCTGTTGATATATTGCCAAGATGAAATTTCATATGCACAACATAGGGCAGAAAAAATAAAACAAAATTACAAAAGCATATGTTTCAGTCTTTCAGACACCACTAGTAATAATATGAAGGATAAAATCCAGATATCTGAATACACCTGTGAAAAAATAATTGCATACCCTGAATCAGAACAGAATCAACATTTCAGGTACAAATCTTTGGGCACAACATTAACGTAGCGACACATCTGATTACTCATAGTTCTTGCAAAGTTTCATAAAAAGTGAAATATATGACAAATACTTAACTCAGGGACAAGTAAACCAAGAACAGGAAAGAAAATCAAAATAAAGCCTGTAGGAGTCAATCGGCTAATCCTGACGTCTGAGCACTGAAAACATAATAAGTACTCCTATATGACTACCAATGAATGCCTCTCAGTGAATGCCTCAGTAACTTACATAAAGTAGATAATCAAATAAGAATAAGGAAACTTTCATTATATTATATTATCTTATATCTTACCACACATGCATGATGCATGCCACAACAACAAACAAGATCAACAATAAACCATGACTTTGAGTACAGAAGATCTTGCTAACCTGAATAAAGTGAACGAGCTCCACTTCAAAGTGAACTTCATCATAATCTTCTATTACAGGCATCAGAGGAGACTCAGTTAAATACTGACTGGTAACATATATAACAGCCTTCTCTTCCCGAACCATTGTTCCTATTGCCATTTCAAGGCCTTTAGGTACCTGATTTGCATTAAGAGAAGAGTAACAGCCAGATGCAAATGACACAAATCAATAATATGAAAGCATTTCCTAAGATGTTGTCAACACAACAATCCTCAGAAATAAACTGTTTCATGTCATTTTTATTTATTTTAATTTTTCAAGGAGTTGCATGGTTGCTGGAATCAAGAAATAAAAAATATGGGCATAGCCATATCAGATCATAGCTGAAATATTTGGCATATTAAGAGAGACCAACTCATTCTAAGTTTATTCCACCATAATATCATTATCATTATTATAATAAACAAACAACGAGTAAAATGATTTATATACCTCTGATTTTCCAAATGTAAAGAAGTATGGTTCTCCTTCTGTATGTGACATGATCAATTTCCCAGCAACTGTCTTTGCTGAAATCCTGGTAAACAATCAAACAAAATATCATCAGAAACTACCATTAACTTATTATACAGCCTGACATGAGAAGAGATGAACAATGGAAAAAAGGTAACAAGGATTTGGTTTACCAAGCCTGAACTTCATAAGGTTCTCTTGGAGATTCCCAACCCTTCCCTTCATGTACTACCTACACTTAGAGTTACAAATAACGTGATTGAGATTATTGAATAAAAATGACTGAAACCTATCAGCAAAAAAAAAAAGACTGATACTTTCCCTTAAAGGTTATATCTTTCCACATCTAATCCTCCTTTCCAGTTTTTACCAGATATGCCCATGCCAACACATGATGCAAAAATTATATAGATGTCAAAATATTTGGGTGAACATTCTGACAAATTATGATACAATTCCCAATTGTCAGAATTTCCTGTATATACCAACAAGATTCAATACAAAGACTTAGAATTGTTTGTTTACTGTTTTAGAAAAACACCTTTTATTTTTCAAAAAGAAAAAAGTAAAACATGTTCAATTATAACACTAATTTTTTAAAACAGTTTTTAAAATTGTATCTCTTTTATAGTCTTTAAAGCCCAGATTTGAGAACATCTAAAAGGAGTTTTGATTCTGGTTTTTAGTTTTCTAAGTTCTCACCCATGTAACTTCATTTTTCTTCTCCCACACAATCTTGCTTTTCCAATCCTTTCAAATTTTGCTTACTGTCATCAACATCTTACCATGGACATGAGTAATCAACCAGATGGTAGTATTGCAATTTCTGGATTCTTTTTCTATTGCAATTTTTGGATTATTATATAATGATTTTTCAACTTTCCATATATATATAGAAATAGAAAGCAATAGACTAGAAACGACATCTCTTATCTCAGTGACACCAAAGCTAGGGATATTAAATGAATGGAGTAAGTTTATGGATGGAATATAATGAAATAGAGCCAGTGCCACAGAGGATGTTCAGTGAGAATGCAAGTAAGGGGTGGGTTCTGCGTTGGTTTCAGTGCAACTAGTTCTTGTAGAATCATGGCATGTGTTTGGTGGCTAGAGTTGACAGTTGACAGAGATTAGAGACATGAACATGTTTATGGTTTGATGAAGCTTATGAAGGCACTCTTGAATAAATGGAAACCATATGTTGCCACCAAAGATAATCTGGTTTTAGAGGTTAATAAGCAAGAAGGGATTGTAAATGGTTTTTGCTACAGTGACTCACCTAACCGGAGGACACCTTTCTGAGAAGAAAATAATTCCCAGTCTATCAAGCAGATTTTTTCTTTTCTGTATTCAAGAATAGTTTTTTAAAATAATTTTATAAGATTGATTCTGTAAACCAAAAAAGAAAATTTTCACACAGTCCCTTAAATTCAAATATCATAGAACTCTACCTTAGTAAAAAAAATGCACTCATGCTTCTTCATAGTATATGAAGCAATGGTTTAAATTGCGGGTCTACAAAAGCAACACAACCACAGTCATGGCTACATCAGGCTGCAATTTTGGTAATCACATTTTAACTACAACTGAAATTTAAAAGCATGTTATGAAGCCTAGACAGTTCAAAAAGGAAGCCATTTCCAATTTTCCATGTCGGAGATGTACTCAACATTTCTGTCACAACACAGTTCTTTTCCTTTCCTTTTTGGGTTTGACATTCATATTTTCCATGAGATCCATCCAGGATCATATGAATATGTTCAAAATAAATCTATAAACTATGAAGCAATACATTACAGCCACTTATACCTTTTTCACAACTCCCAAATCGTCACTAACAACCTGGAAATATACACAGAAGGAAGAAATGAGGATTGCAACACAGAGATCAGTCACAAGAAATAGTTATTCTGAACAAAAGAATCCACATAAAATGGGAAAACCAGTACAGCAGTAATGGAGAACACAGCAAAAATATTTATGACTATCCAAATAAGGATTAAAGGGTTGAAAAAGATAAACATGAAAATAATTTCCTTTTACTTTTGGTACATGAAAAGGGTAAAGAACCCCCAATTAAGAATGGAAAATGTTTCATAGAATAGAATGAAACCAAAACGTCATTAGAATAAGATAGAGCAAATAATCATTAGAATAAAAACTGAACTCAAAGCACACATCCTTGCCTTGGCTTTGAAAAATTCTATCAGCTCAATTTCAAAATGAAGTTCATCATCTTTCGGAAAACCATTAGGAGCAGAAATAGGACAATCATCTTCACCATAATGCAACTGTGGCTTCATCTTGAACTGCAAGAATAAATAATTCAGTATAATTAGATAATTATTTTTTATTCTAAATTAAAAAACATATTAAAGAAAACACAATCAAAGAATAAGAAACCCACCTAATAGAAAAGAAGAATTGAGGGGGGAAATGAAAAAGAAAAAAAAAAGTCATCTAAAAGTTGTCCTCATATCCAACTAAAGGTCCACAGAAGTAGTACCCAAGAAGAAACTATTGACAGACCCCACCATAAATAAGACTTTGATTATTCCCCAAGGAAATATTGATTGCTCACACCATTAACATGTTTAAGAAAATAGTAATGCATTTCAAATAAGATCCCTCAAATCCTCAAGAAAAACCATAGGTAGGAGCAGCCAAAAGTAAAGCAAGGAAACATGAACCTAATGTTCAAGAAAATCAACAACGTGTTTTATTAAAATAGAAGTACTGGGTAACAGTCAATTTTCCTCCTCCTTCATTATAATAGTAGAAATCATAGATGATTAAGATTATGATAACAACGGTTTCATTCTTCTTAGTTAGCACCGTAGAAGTAATATTCTGTTATATCTACAAATGAAAGATTATTGTCCCCATATTGCACACAAATTAAGGTTCTAAGTTCAAAATCATAATAAATCAAGACCACTGAGAAGATCCAATATAATATGAATAAACCATGAGGCAAGATGACTTGAGCTTTTAGCCACCAGCAAAAGAGTATATATATCAGAAAGAAAATAAAATTAAATAATTAGAATATTACCATGGCCACTTCACCCTTCAACATTGTTGGAATTCCTTCTAGCAAACCCAATAACATCTTGCTTTTGCCCAAAACATGTCTTATTGGGGTGCCCTTGCCTGTTGCAGTAACATATAAAGTTAGCCAACCCAACTACTACGGAAGAAAATATTTTGGCACTAATACTATTTTTACTTAAGCCTAATAACAAAATCTGAAGTTTCAACTTCCAATATTTTCTACAGTGGGGTGCCTCACTATGAAATTTGCAAGTCAAGTTATTTGTTATCCCTAGGAGTTCACAACAGGTGCTATCAAGAAGTGCTGCATCCATGTCAATTCTCAAGCGAAAATAAATCAAGCAGTAACCAAAAGTAGAGGATCAAAATATAAAAAGAAAATCAGCTTTTAATAAAGAAATAATTATAAAAGACTAAATCAACAGAAATGACTATTATCTTGTTAATCAAAACACTCAAAAAAGGTCCTAACCAGCTTAAATCACCTCACCTCCATAGTCAGACCTGGTAGATTCCACAAGCACTCCATCCAAAGTTCTAATTGTGCTGTGATAGATAACCTGGGACACAAGATACAACATATTTCATGACAAAAATCAACCACTACTGAACACACTACAACCATTGCTTTCCTACACTTATTATAAAAATCCAACCCGGTAAAAAAGAGAAATAACCTGGTCACCATCTGAAGGTCTAGAATCACCCCCACCAGGCCTCACCAATGCTTTCATCAAACTCCCAGGCACAATTTTCTTCTTCCTTCATTTTCACTCACAAAAAATACAACATTTAGAACACAATCTCTACCCTCAACAACAACTAAAACTAACATACACCGCCAAAGAACCAAAATCAAATAAAAATTAAATTAAAAAATCAACCTCTTCTCATCCTCAGAAGGTGGCTTCTTCTTTGGTGCATATTCCTGATCACCATCTTCATTGGCAGCCATAGCCACTGTCAATAAACCAAATCACTGAATTTCCCGAACAGCAACCAAAACCTATATATAACTATAAACGACAATCAATTAGGTCCAAAATTGAGTCCAATTTTCAAAAGGGTGTCACACGACAAAAGTTTTGAGTATTGGGAGGAAATAGATAAATTCAGATCTTTTTGTTCTTTTCTTTTCGTTTTGATGGGGTAGCTGAGAGTTCTGAAGGTTCTCACTTAATGCTTCACACAGAGCAAAGGTTTTGTTGGTTGGCAAGTTGGTGAGCCGAAAATAAGCAAGTGTAATTTTGTTATGGTTAATGGAAATTTCGAGAATGCGAAAATCTGCATTGAAATTTGAAGGTGGGGTATTGCTGTTCACCTGATTCGAAAACGAACGGGTATGGTATGGATCGGGCGAAGGCGTTGACTGATCTCAATCAATCTTCTCAGATTCTACTTTACACCCTGTTACTTGCTAAACAAATTTATATTTAGGAAAATTTTCTGTTAATATTATAGGTATTTTTATTTTAAAAAATTGAGATTTTTTTATTATTTTCAGTTAAAAATTAAAATTTTACTTTGACAATACAATAAAGGTGAACGTATATTAATAAAGTAAAATTTTAATTTAAAAACATTACTAAAAGCACTCGTAAAATTCAACTTAATTTTGTCTATTTATTTTTATTTATTAATTAATTATTGTTTTTGCCAATGTTATTCCCAAGTTTAAGTATTTAAAAATAATAAATATTTATTACATTTTTGTATTTTCAATATAATTTTTTTATAAAAATTATTATTTTTAAATATTTAAACTTAGTTTAAAATATTGAAGTTAACGACATTAATTAATTATTATTATCAATAAACAATATCAAAGACATGTAAATTTTATTTGATTCATATAAAATGATACATATAAGACCATTTTTCATGGAAGTTACTATATATCATAATGAATTCTTATATTAAGATAGCATATAATAGAAACATGCAATATATTAAATAAAATAAAAAGTAAAAAAAATACCAAAATTAAAGGTTAAGAACCTTGATAACTTAAATTCTTTTTGTTTCTATTTTTTCTCTTCTAGTATAATTCTTTTTATAGTAAATCATTTAATTATCTTTCCTCTAATGCATTTTAACAGAGTTGACAGTGCTACTCTTTGTATGCAAGTATATCTGTCAAATAAAAATAAAATAAATTTTTAAATTGAGTTTTAGAATATCATTTTATAGATATTATTTTTAATTATTAAAACTATCATAATTTAATTATTTGAACTTAAATAGTGTAACTTCTAATAAAAAATTATTCAAGAGAAACCTAGGGTTTGTAGTTTTACCTTTATACCTTTTTATGTTTAATTTTAGTTTAATTCAAATTATGGTTTCTCTATAATCACCAATCGTTCATACTAATATTACTAACACTCAATAATTATCCAATGTAAGCAATTTTTTTTTAATCTATTACTCCCAATGATCGTTGTTTGTGTGTCAGTGTTCCCGTCAAAAAGTAAAAAAGGGTTCTAAAATAAGTTCTTGAGATATCATCTCACAAGGATTATTTTCAATTACTAAGAATTTCTTGATTTAATTGTTAGAACTTAATCGATGTAAAATTAAATAAAACAAAGATTTAAATATAAAACTAATTAAAAAGAAATTAAAATAGTGCAAACTAATCGAGAAAAACCTAAAATGTATAGTTTCACCTTTACAATTATTATGTTCTCTTTTAGATTAACTCTAATTTCAGTTTTCCTATGATTGTCAATCACTCATACTAAATTTATTAATACAAAATGATCATGCAATGTTAACAATATTTTCCCTAAGCTATTACTCCTAAGGATTATGCAAGGTAAAAGAGGGAGAAAGTATAAAGAGCCTACGAGCTATTAATTAAATAATGATTGAAAAAGAAGAACTAAGTGTAGTCTACCTAATTCTTTTTCTCATTTTACCCTATAAATCTATTAACTATATGTGGTTTATATGGTATGTTTAAGAGTTGTTAATTTCTAACATACAAGTATAGCGTAGTAAGGTAAGCACCAATCAAGAAAAGGAAACATGAAATTATTCTTAATCATAAAGTTCTCATAAAGTCATGCAAAAAAAACACCATAGCCCTAGCTATGAATTTAGCTACACATGGTATAAAAAAAAAACCAAAATAACAATAAATCAATCGATAGTAATCGAAAAGTAAATGCAAACTAAAGAGGTCTCCAATGGATAAAAGATGAAGAGAGCTCTTGATCTCAACAGGCGCTTCCAAAGCTTCAGTAGTCATCAGTGACTGGCTAACACCAAGATTGAGAATATAAAAGAGATGTGTAAAAGGCATAGAAAGTATGATAACAAATTGATGTCTAATTAAGTCACTCCTCCTAAGATCTCTTTAATAGGGTTTGAAAACCCTAAAATTGCTTTGGAGTTAGACTTCTCGCAGGTAGGCACAGGCGTGCAAGACCACAAGCACGACCACACATGTGGCTTGAAGCACGCTTGTGCTGGATGCTTGGGTATAGGTGTGCTGGTTAGTACCCTCAGCTGATCCATCAAATCGTCGATCCTTGGAAGCGGATACTTGTTCTTGACTGTTACCTTGTTCAACTGCTGATAATCTACACACATCCTCATGCTTCCATCTTTCTTCTTTACCAAGAGCACTGGTGCTCCCCACAGTGACACACTCGGTCTTACAAACCGTTTTTACAATAGGTCTTCTACTTGCTTCTTGACCTCTGCCAAATCCACTGGTGACATCCTGTAAGGCACCACAGAAATTGGGCTTGCTCCCGGAATGAGGTCAATAGCAAACTCTATCTCCTTCTCAGGCGGTAGCTCAGAAATATCCTCGGGAAAAACCTCCAAGAAATCCCTTTCCACCAGAATATACTCCGGCTCCACCACGCTTTCGGTTTCCATTGAGAACACAACCATGAAAGCCTTGGCGTTTACCATGTTCTCCCACGCTCCCTGGCTCAAAAGCCTTGGAACCTTTGTCATTGTCTCACCGAAGATCAAAGTCTTCTCCTTATAGTCCAGCAACACATGGTTGGCAGCAAGCCAATCAATTCCCAGAATTACATCCAATTGCAAAAAAGATAAACAAATTAAGTCCACCTCAAACTCCCTACCATGTACCATTATCGAACACCCCAAGCATACCCATGACATCACAACTGGCTTACCCGTAGAGGTAGTCACCACAACATTACACGGTAATTCTGTCACATACAAATTCAGACTTTTGATACAGTCCACAGATATAAAGGAGTGCGTAGCACCCGAATCAAGCAGCACATCAAGCAATCAACCCTTAATAATGCATTTTCCTCGGATCAGCTCCTCTGATTATGAAGCCTCTACTCTACTCATAGCAAAGACTCTCCCGGGGATGCTCAGCTTCTGCCCCTTGCTTGGCCCCATACTTCCTCTTGATTCCGGCCTCTGAGCTACACTTGCACTACCACCCCTCTTGGCAGCCCAGCACTCATTTGTAACGTGCCCTAACTTCCCACAGTTGCTACAAGTTATCCTTGGCTGTGGGCAGTCCTTCACCATGTGTGGCCCCCCACACCTGAAGCACTTAAGCGGCCCTCTGAAAGAACTCGATCCTGAACCACTCCCACTGCTCTTCTCTTGAGATGAACTCCCTCGAGACTAAGAGCTACTTAATCCCAAGTACGGTCCCCTTGAGAACCTAGGGGGTCTTCTATCTTGCCTCACTGGGTCGGCTTCCCTAGTGTCCACTGTCTTCCCTCTTGAGTTAGCTTCAAAAATTTTGTTCTTGCTCACCAGGGTGGGCAAATCTGTCAGCTAAAACACACTGACCGCAGCTCGAATGTTTGGCCTCAATCCATGCTCAAACTGAGCACACAGATCCTCATGTCCATCACCATGCTGATAATGAGGCCAATACTTCATTAGCTCCTGAAACTTAGCTGCATATTCCCCCACAGTCATACTTCCTTGCTTTAGTTCAAGGAATTCCCTAGCTTTCTCCTTCCTTAGGTCTTAGGGAAAGTAGTTCCCTAGGAAGATGGTCTTGAATGTTTCCCATTGGACATAGCCATCTTCTTGTGGCAAGGTCTGACCGAAAAACCTCCACCAGTCCTCAGCCTCTCCACATAGCAAATAGGTGGCATAGGCAACCTTGTTCTCCTCTCGGCACCCCATTGCATTGAAGATCTTCTCCACATCGGGCATCCACCTTTAAGCTCCTTCGGGGTTGAATCCACCCTCAAACTTGGAAGGATCATGCCTACTGAAGGCAGATAACCCTCTATACTCAACTGGCTCTCCACCTTGATTGTGCACCATGGCTTCCAGAATTTGAGCCATACGTTCCATGAGGTCATTGGTGCCTCTAGCTCCTCTACCTCTACCTCTACCAGACATATTCAATCTAGCTTCACAATTTAACAGTCATAGTCCAGCACGTCAAATCAATAATACATTTATAATTTAGGCAAACAAAACAATCAACACTTATCTCGGACGCTTCAGCCCGATACCCCAGTCCTGTTTGGATGAACTGCTCTGATACCATTATTGTTACAGCCCGGCAACTTATTCGAGACTGACGATTGTCCCCACAAACCAACACGAGACTTTTCAGTGTGCTTTGTCCTCACTCGCAAACTTCCCGGAAACTTCCCAGAAGGTCACCTATCCCATAATTGCTCCAAGTTAAGTACGCTTAACTTTGGAGTTCTTAAGTGATAGGCCACCGAAAAGTAAATGCATTTTGTTGGTATAGGTAGTCATGCTTACACACGGCACACAGCCCACATGGCACTCAAATATACGGCATTAGGCCCACATTCATTTCACATTATAGGCACATAGCCCACATTTATTTACAATATCATTAATTCACCAATCAATGACATTCTATCACCCATAATCACCCTCACGGGGTCCAATTATTCTATCACACATCACATTACATATCAATTTCCATCAAACACACAATTTCTATCTTCTATCTCAGCCACATTGCATTAATCATCAAAACACACAAGAATTACAATACATTGAGATAAGGTAGAGTCCCCTCTTACCTCGGATTGAAGACTCACACTCGGATTTGTCCACGGATGTGCTCCTTACACAAATTGCGGCCTAAACACATGGAAGAATTCCATGAGAACCCAAGGAAACCACAAAAACAGAGAATGTGGTTGAAAAACAGAAACTCTAATCATTAAAACTCACCTTCAAGCATTCCCCACACGGATTTAACCTTCAATCAAGCTTCTGAACGGCTTTGGAGGCAATATAATCGATAGAAAAGAGTTTTGGGTCGAGAGGATTGAAGAGATTTGAGAAATGAATCTCAAATCCCTAAACCCCCTTTTAAAACCCCTCAAATAGCGATACTCTCGCTACAACGAGAAATTCTCGCTGTAGCGACGTCCTCTGTCGCCATAGTGAAAATCTCAGACAAAATTGCATCCTGATTTCTGCAGAATCTCGCTACAGCGAGACTGCACCCAGAAATGCACCCCAGACTATCGCTACAGCAAGATGTCTCTTACTACAGCGAGAAGGCGACAGTTCTGGTCCTTCCTCGCAAGGCTTCCTCTCGCTATAGCGAGAACAACCCAGTATCACCCCCTGCACTTAGGCACTTAGCCCATTTTCAGCTCAACTAGTCATGCATACACACATCCATATACTTAATACACTTAAACATCATTATCAAGTAAATCAACACACACATATATATACATTTAGATTTACATAAATATAATAATTAATATTACAAAATTTGGGGCGTTACACATATCACTTGATCCAAACTATAACAAACTTGGAGACATCTAAGGGCAAATCATCAACAATAGCTCCATTTATACGTATAGCAAGAAAATGCAAATTAGGACCAAGGATCAAAATTAAAATACATTAAAAAAATAACAAAAAGGCAGCCAACAGACATACCCAAAACAACAAACCAAAGCCACAAAACACAACCTCCTATGGTAAGTAATAATGAAGAATGAAAACACCCACTAATCTAAGCTTAATTTTTATCCATGAAAGATGTTGGTGTATACTCTAGGGTTTCTTTCCCAACAAGGGGAAACCAAAAATAACAGCAATTGAAAGTGGAACCCCAGAGAAAAAATCACTCATTGTGGAATCAAATAGAAAAAAAAGGATCCAAGAAACCATACCTCATTTGTATATCTGTAGATCCCACACGTTTTCTTGGTGATCTTTCACATTCTCTTCATATGAGCACAATCTCTGTAATGGAAAGAAGAAGTTGGCTGAAAGAAGCTCATAAATGTTGTTTTTTGAAGAAGGTATTAGTAGGTGTAGCAGTTGGTGACAATAAACTCTCTGTACAGAAAGTGGTAAGGTTATTAATAAAAAAATTTATTTTGTCCCAACAGCTTTCTAAATAAAATGCCCAATTTTCAAAAAAAGATCTGGAAAACCATACCTTGTTTGTAGATCCGTAGATCTCACACGTTTTCTTGGTGATCCTTCACATTCTCTTCATATGAGCACAATCTCTATAATGGAAAGAAGAATTTGGCTGAAAGAAGCTCATAAATGTTATTTTTTGAATAAGGTATTGGTGGATGTGGCAGTTGGTGACAATAAACTCTCCGTACAAAAAGTGGTAAGGTTATTAATAAAAAAATTTATTTTGTCCCAACAGCTTTCCAAAAAGATTGCCCAATTTGAAGCTTTTAACCCAATAGGTTTTCTCTTTAGAAAATAACAATCCACATCTTTTAATTTTTTCACCTAAACATGATTTTAATAACCACCAACAACTTTTTTATCTCAAAAAGCTATTGAAAAGATTTACTAAACATACTCTAAGACTCAAAAAATCTATTTACAATATCAAAATGTAGACTAAGTCCTATGAGCAGTCCATATCCACACTCAACACACTGAGGACTTAGTCCTAGTCGTTATCACTGTTCATAGGGCAAGTGTACCCATCGATAAGTAATAAAGAGTTCTAAAATAAGTTCCTGAAATATCGTCCCATAAGGTTGAATTTCAATTACTAAGAATTTCTTAATTTAATTATTTGAGCCTAAAAGATGTGAAATTAAGTCAGAATCAGAATTTAATTATAAAATTTATAAATAAAAGCAAATAACACAATGCACGTCTTAGTTGAACTTATAGGAGAGAAACTTAGGAAATATGGGTGTTCTCATTCAATCCTTTATGTTATTTTTCCATTTAACTCTAAATTTGATTTCTTTATGATCACCAATCATTCATACAAATACTATTAATACCCAATGATTATGTAATACTAATATTCTTTTCTCTAAATTAATATCCCCAATGATCATGCAAGACATCAATTAAAGAAAGCATAAAACACCTATGAACTTGTTAATTTAATAACAATTAGAAAAGAAAGATTGGTTTGGTCCACCTAATCCTTTATCTCATTTTATCTTATAGATTTATTAACTAATCGAGGACAATTGACTGACGATATAATAAATTAGGATTATAAGTATGCGCAATAGGATAAAAGCTAATCACGAACGGAAACCAAATATAGATTCAAACTTCAAAATCCCATAAATTCATGAACAATAGTTCCCAGAGCATCATGCAAGATATCAATTAAAGAAAACATAAAGTACCTATGAACTTGTTAATTTAATAACGATTGGAAGAGAAAGATTGGTTTGGTCCACCTAATCTTTTGTCTCGTTTTATCATATAGATCTATTAACTAATTGAGGTACAATTTCCTGACGATATAATAAATTAGGATTATAATTATGCACAATAGGATAAAAGTTAATCACGAACGGAAACCAAATATAGATTCAAACTTCAAAATCTCATAAATTCATGAACAATAGTTCCTAGAGCCCTAACTATGAACTTAGTTTCTCATGCTAAAAAGAAGAACTAAAAGAATCATAAACAAAGCCATAGAAAAAAGTAAACTTGAAAGAGATGATTTTTTGGTCTTCAAGTACGGTCGCTCAAAGCTCCAAGTCCCACAAAGAATATGCCAACGATCCGATGCAAGAGAGACAAGATGTAAGGTGTATCGAAGAGTAAAAGACAAGATGTCAAACTTGGTGCCTAAAGTCTCTCTTTAATAGGTTTGAAAACCCTAAAATTTCTTCATTAATTGAGCTTGAAGCACTCATGCTCTTGCTGACTACTGCGAAGCCCTAATTTTCCATCAATTTGGACCCAAAACACACCTAAAATCCACTTGTGGCCTCTTTATACTAAACTGCATAATTAATATAGAAATCAATGTAAAACCCAAATAAAATAAAGGCCAAACATAAATATGTGGACCATAAAAGAGGGTCAATTACAAACTTATCAATCACTATACCAGCCCTCTATCTCGACTAGCTCTTTTGGTGTCAGGTCCTCGTCCTCTCTAAGGTCTCTAGAATCTGCCAAATGCTCAACACTTGTTATCTGTTTAAAAGTATACTTGGTAGGTCTTTCTAACCAGTCGTGATCATGGAAGGTATAAACATTATCTATAACTTTCGAATGTCTAACAATCTCTCGATATATACAAAGACTAAGGA